ACTGTCATCATTCTAGAAATTAAGTAGGGGAAAAGATCTTTAACGTGCTACAAAATGGACACCAGGATGGATGATATGCAATGTTTAAGCTCACCTAAATCAAAGATGGCGTCTAGTTATCGATCGAGATGCATGTGCTGCATTTTGGAAACAAACTTAACGAGGAAGTTTGCTGCAGATTTGTCTTTGCAAATCTTTTTAATTCACTAGATCTCTTAGTAAGGTTATGATGAAACATTCTAGTTGCCAATTTGGCAACTAATTTTCAGGATTTGGTCACCAAAGTGAAAAATTTAGTCGCATTGGCGCCTGTATTGGGCGCAATTTCACGCCCTGCCAAAGCAGTCATTATCTTTCTCCATTTCAAAGTTTGGAAATTAATTTCCAACTGAGCCATCACGCGCATAAAAATAACATCATATGCAACACCACCTCCAGCATGTAAAACACAACTAATGACTTACCTCCAGACACCACAACTTTGGCACTTGTCAACTCTGGTCTGTCACTGACATTCAACTCCTCCCCAACCCATGATGACAGATCATTGCTTGTTTCTGCCGCAGGTGCTGTAAGGAAGTGTAACAATAAAGTTAGCTGCACATTGCCTCTTAACAAGCTATAGGTAAAGAAAGCACTTGGGGGGCCAAGTGACTCATCAGGCCTGGTATTATTCTAGCTTCTGTAGCATGATGTGGCTGGGATAATTACTACTACTTACTACTCCCTCCCATCCCCTCCTCCCCTCCCCCCCTTGATGGAATACCAGTTCATCACAGCTTAACCCAGAATTTTGTCAGGTTCTCTTGAGAGAATCAGTGCCAATTGATATCACTGGATGAAGAGAGTCACTTTGAGAATATGGAGTCTTGCCCCAGGAGCTGTGGAGAATCTCTCCATCCAGGAACTAACACATTAACCATTGGTTCTACATGTCCCCCACACCTAACAAGAAAAAGTTCCCTAGAGTCCTATGTACTGTATGTACATACACTAACCCTTATTATTCAATTACTGGCATCTAGTCATTCATATTTATCAATACAGTATTAAAACTATTCTTTGAAAATGGCCCTAAATGTAACTCATTACCATTTTCACTTGCAACTCCCCCACCAGAAGCTTTGGCTGCTTCAAAGGCAGTTCCTCTGACAGTAAACACTTTCACACTGTCATTGCTTTTGCATGTCAACACAGCATTGCCTAGCACACACACACACAAAAAAAAGAAAACAAAAATTAAATGGTTTACAATGTACATGTAGGAGTCACTTAAAAAAAATCTAACAAAATTATTTAATATTGATCTTAAAGTGTGAGTATGTACTTAAACTGTACTTCTGACTGGCTGTCTTAGCCACTTAATAAACACACTGCACCCCTGTCTACATGATGTCATCTCACAAACTAGTCAAGAGTGAGACTAATACTTACATGTACTTTCTGACATGCAAAATATGTGCTTCAAGGCAAAAGTGCCTGTAAAGTAAGTCTCACAGCTAGAAACCAAACTGATCATACATGTACCTGCATAAATTGTTCGCACAAATGTGTCCTCTGACTGAATCTCTATCACATCCTGCAATTGAGCCACATCCAACAATGCAGCCACGCGAGGAAGAACATTCTGGAAAAAAATATTTAAAGACTGAGAAAAAATTTGCTTGGTAGAAAAGGAAATTTTTACCACTATGGGATAAGCATGTTCAAACAAGGATGCTGTGAGCCTCTTCTCTCAATGCTTGCTCAGATTACTTTATTTGAGACTGGTGAAATAAGAGTCTCTTGCTTTTTTTCAATGAAACAACAAGAGTGTAAAATGTACTGTACCTTTCCCATGGCTGTTGCACCAGCAGTTATGTGTGAAAAGTTGAACTGTTTTTGAGTTCCAACGACAAGTGGGGCTAAAACCTCTGTGCAAAGATAAAAGGTGCAGAAGTCTTACATCACAAACCAAGAAGATTTCAATCAACACTTAGACAGACACATTTTAAACATCTATAAAGTGCTCTAGCACACTTAATGCCTGACAATAAACGGGTGAAATCAAACCATGCACAAACTGAAACCTCTAATCTGAGACTTGGGTAATGGCCATGCCCTTAATTACCAGGTAAGAAGCCTTTGTATGCTTCATGCTCAGCTACTAAAATCTTGCTCAATCCCTCCACTTGACTCAGCTCTTCAACCACCTGTAAAGAAAACAGAACACACCATTAATTTGGTAGAATTTGCACAAAGTCATTCATTTTAATGCTATAGTGCTGAGCTGTTTTTTTAATACTCAGTTAATAGTGTTTGAAAGTACTGTAAATGTGAGTAATATATCTGCCATAAATTATTGTTTCTTTTGATGTGTAATAAAATGGTGGAAAATGTACAAATACTTCAGTAAGCGATGGAGTTTTTCAAGTCACATAGTTTTGTAATTCAAGCAAAATTAAAGTGGTGTTTTAAGTAACTTCTTAAATCAAAGTGTAGTCAGTTAAATATTGCTGGTAATATGCAGTAAATAGAAAAAACAAAACGTAAGAATGAAACTGCACACTCAGGAAGTACTGTAGATTCTACAACCAGTGTACACAAATGTTTGTTAAAAAGAAGTCTACAAATTGCCTGACTGTGTAATAGCACTTAATTCCATAGAGAAGTGATGATAACATTTAATTCAGTTGTAGTTCTCTGTAAAAAGTTCAAATATATTCACATACAACCACTAACCTTTCCACAGCTGGTTCCAGCAACAAGGGCTGATACCTCACCACCAAGTTTACTAGCAGCTGCAATTGCATGCAGAGTTATAGGAACAACTGACTTGTTGTTGTGCTCTGCAACAACCAAAGTAGATGCACATCTACCTGACACCAGACATCGCAGAGAGCTTCCCTAACAGGTATATAAATACAAAAATTAAGGAAAGAACTTCAACAATCGCTGACTCATAATAAAAGACTTAACCCTTTACACCCTAACATCACCATGCATATTCTCCATACTGTTCTCTGTACATTTCCTGAGGGACTAGCAAGGAGAATTTGTTTGACAGTCAAGAGCTTCTTTTAATCAGTTGGTGATCATTTCCATTATTCTTGTGATCTTAAAGTTTGATTCAGGGGTGATATTGTCAGGAGAATTTAGATGCTGGTCACTCTAAGGGGACTTAGAGCAGTTCTGATATCCATCGTAGACATTTAAAAGCCAAAACGAGCAAATTGTGCATCAAATCCACCGATCACAATTAGTTAGGTAAAATTTTTACAGAGCCCCATACTATTGTAAAACAAAATTGTTTTCCCGATGGCAATGTATTGTTTTTATCAATGTTTTCTCAATCAAGAACTGAATGCATAATGTAGGATGGGGCTGTGCAGAAATTTTACCATTAGTTGTTTCAGAAAGATTTGTGCTTTCTTTCAAAGGAATATCTTGATCTCCACTTGTTACAAAACGACACAGAAAGACTCGCTGAATATCTATCTTGCGTTTTCGATTCTTCAAGAAATAATCAAGATCTGATTCAATTACTGAGACGACTCTTCAAGTCAGTAAATAGCACTTTAAAGTAGTCACCCTCTGAAATCAAATTGTCTCAGGGCCAATCCATTTTGAGTAAAAGATTCAGTTTTTATTATGCAACAGTTACGCATCTGTCTGCTTCTTTATGAAACAAAATATATTTACCTTGCACAAACAAATAAATACAATACATGTTACCTGAACTCATTGCGAGAACTATCTATATCAATCGTTCTTAAAAATCAATTTTATCAGATATGATTTATTTTTTCATACAGAGAAATACTTACAGGTCTCCCTAGAGCCCTGGAAAGAGTTCCAATCCTTAACATTTGAATTGTGATATGTGTTGTCGGGGTTTTATCGACAAAAGTTTGCGCGACTCTTCAGAATTGCCTGATGTTCGTGATCGTCGTCCAATTTAACGTTATGCAAGATCGTTGATTAAGGGACATGCGCTAGTTCCAGACTCTCACGCCACAGTGTCGTCACGAGAGAAATCTGTCACGCAATAAATATCTTTCACAAGACAAGGTCAGACAAGATGTTCTTGCCCAGCCTGCAGAACAGGTGAACGAACGAAGGCAAGTTTCTTGGTGGAAATTAAGTGGGCGAGGGAGAAGCCGCTCAAGGAGAGCATAACTGATGAAAGAGAAATCGCCCGACGAAAGTGCGCTTACCATCGTTAATGCGCGGTTACTATTCCGTCAGGCGCAGAGCTGAAGGACAATGGGAGGACGACTGAGCGTCAGAACGACCAATTACAGTGTGTCTACATCTTAGTGAATGAATGACTCACTTGCATATCTGTGTTACCATAAAAACTTGTTTTTACCCTTCGTGTATCCACAAGTTAAAGAGTGAAATGGGTATATATCCACTCTCAACGTTAACCCTGCTCCAATCCGTAACGCCGATTGAGGAACTTGCTCAGCTGTTATGGAAGGTTGCAATTCTTAGCTCTGCAGTGATTCCGGTGATTACATACAGCTCTCTTTAATAATCCTCGAAGTAGAATTACGGACGTAAATTAACAACTTACTTTAGAATTACGGACTAAGACTGACAGTTTACTTTCTGCGGAAACAAATGGCCTATTCATGAGCCTGGAAATAAAACGAAAGTGTTAACCAACTTGTCAGTTTCGTTTCCCATCAGTGAAATATGCGAATAATTAATCAATCGGTGGGGATGCTAAGTTTAGAAGAGGGTGGATGTGTTCGTTTGATTACTGTTCCCAAGAAAATATAAACTTAATAATCCCTTGCAGTTTCCCTATTCGAAATGTTCAGGACAGTGTGCAAGGGAATTGAGTGTGAGTCTTTGAGAGAATGGCGCGAAAAAATGCGCGGGAAAACAACTGCATCCGCCTCGGCGCGCGTACCCCACGACAAATGCAAACGTTCAGGAAATTGAAGGAAATTTTTATCTCTACCAATTTTTAAAACAATTTACTGGTTAATTAATTGATGTCGATGATCCCAATGGCGGCAGGAGCTCGAACGTTTCCTCGTGAAAATGAGGTTCTTGAAGGTTGTGAGGCAAACTTGTTGGTTATTCCCTCAGCAAGGCAAGTTTACCATATGCTCTGTGGATTGTGCATGTACAGCACAATGTTTGTTACGATTTTCTAGCCTTAATGTATACGTAAGTTAAGACCGATTTTTTTTTTCTTGTTTTGCAGGAGTTCAGAAACTGTCAGGAGACAAGAAACAGACAGTGGAGGCCTTATGGAAAATTTTCTTTGGAAATCAACTACTGATCTGAATAGGCAAGTATCAAAGTGACCTTCGTCAATCATTCTAAACAACAATACTGTTAACGGTTTGTCAAGATTAGTAGGACGTGACTTGACATTTGTCTTTTTTATGTTTGTAAGATTTGCGGTGAATCAAGCTCTTTGCCTGAAGGACCCCTGGATGAAACTAACTTCTGCGAAATCTAGCACTGTACACCAACACGTAATTGATATCAGCTACCAGTTCGGAGTCAACTTTTCCAGTATATTTTCAAATGCCTAATATACAAATGTTTAGTAATATAACGTACCAGAACAAATTAATTCTTTAGCCAGAATGTTTCTTTCATTGATGTTTTTTCCTCTTCTTCAGTGAGTGCCCAAGAGCTCGTCTTCAGCCATCATCAGTTGGGGTGAGATATGTGCATAACTAAATGAAAGTGATTTACTGTGGGAATTGGGTTCTTCAGCTTCTACATGAAGTTTGAGTTAGCAAATTATAACTTTTAAATAGCTGATAGTACAAGAGTACCATTATCATTTTGATTATAACGTGCTCAAAGGTTCGCTTTCTGGTCAAAGTCCATCAAAATATAGTGTTGCTGTTTCAAATGCTCCACTCACGATACCATATTGAAACACAGAGCTTGATGACAATACAAGAAAATCCTAACAAGCATCTGGGTTGTTTAGGGTCACATTAAGGCATTAACTATTATTAGCTCTTTTAAAATTAATAATCTCATTGATTTATTTGCGTTGCTGTTTAGGTTTGTGGCAAGGTTGTAGCAAGAGGCTCTCTTGAGCTGAATGACTGTAAAAAGCCAATAACTGGAGTTATTTTCAGAGGGAGTATTCCACATCCCTCTAAACTTAAGAAAAAGAAACGGAAACGGTCCAACAACCCCCCAAGAATGCGTCAAAGTCAACAAGGTTTCGATGTGATAGCTCATGTGGCTCAGCTAAGAAGGAAACATGTGGAATTCAACTGGTAAAATATATTTCCAAGCCATACCTAACCCTAAGCGTAATTTATGCTCATTGGATTTGTGAGATGTTTGCACTCAAACAGTTGTTATTACAAACAAATTGCTCTGAAAATTGTGATATAATATTCAGTAGCTGACCCTGTATACATAGTGAAATCATGTCGATCTCCCTGTAAAAGTCACATAATAACTAAATCTCCCTTTATAGACTATATCTCTCAATTAAATTCTTGTCATTTTTTAATTAATTTTTGACCTGTTAGAAGTTCTTAAGAGATATAATCAGTATAATTACTTCAAGAGCATGCCTTGGCCGAAAGGTTAGTACATGGGACCACAGATAGAGTGTTCTTACAGGTTCTAACGCATAGAGTGCGCTCAGACTAATGCATGTGTGCACAGACAAAACTGTATGTTTCTATACCCAGAAGTATTAATTGGTTTCAGTAAACTATTTAGGAGACTATTTGAAATGCTGGGGGCAGGGAGTTTAACCTAATACAGATGAGCATCCCATTCAAGGAGAGTACTAACAACCCTTCTTGTTACTTCAAGTAAGAGGAATATCAGCGCTTCGACTCAAAAAAAATGCATGCCCAGTGGTTTACTTTTAATTGAGGATCTAGATAAATGTAAAATATATTAACTCATAGCACAATTTCCATCCTGTCAAGGCTTCCTACCAATCAAAGAGATGACTTAGCATCTTCAAGTCACTCAGTAGAGGAAGAGCCATTTCCACCTGGTAGTACAGGACCACAATGTGTTCCCAGCACTCCAACTCTGCTATCAAGTGAATCATTTGAGTTACATCTACCTCCAACTTCACACAATTCCAAGGAGAGGGCTATGGATCTTTTTAATTCTTACTACCAGGTAGTACATTCATAATTGTCAGAGGATAGAGAAGTAAAAGTTGAGGTTTATGCTGTCTGTCAAAGCTGAAGGCAGGGACAGTAACACAAAAAAAAAACTTTAAAAATATTGCTATGAAGTCAAATACGTTCTTGCTTGCTTTTAAGCACGCATGGAAAAGGAAAAAATTATATTGGCATTAGTCACAAAAAAATCATTTTTCAGTGTTAAAGTTAATCATGTCATTACAACATGAATCAAAGTGACACAGGTTAACTCTTTGATATACTGTGCAGAATATAAGCCAATGATCCTGTGATTCCTAGAAACAGAATTGAGCTGTCATTCCCACAAAAGTCCTCCCTAATTGATGTACACATTACACGATCGCACTGACATCCTTAATAAGATGCATACTTTCCTTTTTTTCCTTTTCCGTACTAACGCTGTCACAGCTGACAACGCCACGAAATTTGCAAGTCGAATCCCCACACACATCCTTATGCTTTGCATTTACACGAGTTATGAAAACAGTCTCAAGTTGTATTATTGCGAATACAAATATGAAAATTGTTGTTAGTGGAATACAACTTAAAAAAAGAAATGATACACTAACAGCACCGAGATTTATAGTAGTAACAACTACGTCCACCATAGCATTCATTTTAATCAGAGTAATGAAATAATGCAATATAAAGTCCAAGTTTAGTTTTTTCCTTACCCATTGTATTCACGCTGCCAGTGTGGCTGTTCGTATGGCCGATTTAAGATTGTAAGACACCTAAAACGAATCAGTGATTATGTATTGCAGACGCGTGGATGTCTCTTGAAACAAACAACTCGTCATGTAATTTTAATTTGCATCGCCATTTAGCATCATGTATATCAACTCAATCTGTTTTAGTAAACTTTTCTGTCTATACCGGAATTACAGCTACCACAGATAGTTACTGGGCAATTTTCTATACCCTCGTATGCAGTTGCAAGGCGCGAAAGATCAGTGGCGCAACTTCAGGAAGAGAAACTGCATAAAATATCCTTTCTTATGGCTAATGTTTCATAAGGCTGTTGACATTTTAATGTATCATAGATTAGTCCATAAAATCTTTAGCATTGTATCATACGTAGCTTACCAAACTGTTCATTACAAGTAAATACCCTGTTAGTGATTGACTCCTTAACTTAAAACACAGCCACCCGGATACCAAACATACCCAGTTGCCCATCACTGACCGTTTAACTCCAGTAGTGGAACAACAGAGTTTGGCAGCATGGCTAAATCATCAAAATTTTCAATATTTACCAGAAAAACTGTTTCATCCAATTATCTCAGAACCTCCCAAAGAGGAATGAAGGAAAGGTTCTAAACACACATTTTGATATAATCACTTTCCGTCTTATGATTTTTTACGTTGTAAATTTGTATACTGTGCTGCTCATTTTGAATAATGTAAATGAATTAAGATGAGAAATTAAGCTATCAAATCGATCAAATTCCTTTTTTTTTCTTCGGAAGTCGGATCCATCCGGATACTGCCCAAAAGCTGTGCGGAAGATTAAAAAGTTAAATTCTAATTTTTGCTGTTTCATTTTTTTGTTTTTTTTTTTATGTTATTTTTTTTATCACACAAGACTTGTAGCAGTTTGCTCTCAGTGATAACTGAATTGGCTCCGTAATAAGCTCCCTCGATGACGTAACTTTTCCGTGATTGAAGTATTAAGAGCAAATGTCTGAGATGATTGCGAGAAAATCAGAAAACGTGTATTACCCTATGGTCTCGTGTAAGCTTACAAACGTGATGTAGTTTGTTTACCCAGATATGCTTCTGTTTGAGACGGATTAAAGCCTGCATGAGAAGACTTGGCTACAGAACTCAGGAGGCAGTCAGCAGGAGGACTCCTAAATGAGACCCAGCAAAACAACATGAGCATATTTATAAGTTTTTGCCATGAACGAGGCATATGGCGCCACCCGCTAGCCGTACATCAAAATGCTCTGCAGCACTTAAAAAACAGTGATCACTTACTTTTCCATTGACAAATTAAATGCTTTACGTATTTAGGATCTCATGCAGCGCATGGAACGAACGCAGTACATCTATTGCTACATTCTTATGTCAGTGTCTCAATTCTGATTTGGTGGTACTGTTTCTATTGAGTCTTGCCTACAAACAGTACTGTTTAGAGGATCCTATATCAACAGACATCATTTTGTAAGCATGAATTATACAAAAAATATTGAATCGCTTTTTACCGCTATCACGGAAAGAGTGATTGCGTTTTCTTTTGTCAAAAAGGATCTGAACAACATAAGATGTTTCTACCCACATTTAGATTCATAATGTACCCTTTTATCTTTTATGTTTTTTTTTTTTTTTAAAGTAGATGTTTGGTGGCAGTGAATCAGGTAATTTTCTTTATGATTGTTCTCAGCATTTTAATATTTCCGCAGAATTGAATGTCACTATTTCAAAATGGCAAATCAAAGAATAAAATTAGTTTTGGGAAATGCATCAACGAAATTTCCCCTCGGTACACGTTTCGGTTGAATATGCGGTAATTGTTTTTAACGGATTAGGCGAATATGCATGCCGGGGCAATCTTACTAAGACATTTGATCTTGATGATGAGAGGAAAAAAACACTTCAAAAAAGTAAAACAAAAAACAGGAGAAGCTACCTGTCCTTTGAGTGGTTGTAGTTTTCCCTCTGTTTCCATCGCGAAAGGTTTTTGGAAAGTAATCGGTAGAATAATGATTAGCACGCATCTCACAAGGTTTTCTCGTGTTCAGTTGAATTGCCTCACGGGTCTATCCCCCGCTAAATTAGGAATTAAAAAAAAATTATAATATATATATTTTCTTCATCAGTGGCGTTTCCCTATTGCTAAGACAGTTATAAATATTTACATTTTTCAGCCTAGAGTCATCTACAATCATAGCTAATTTATGCCTACGTGATATACAAGAAAAGAAAACGCTGACGTACAGATCACTTAGTGTTCGTAATATTATGCCCGCCTCCGCAGTTACGCTCGATTCGTGCTTTGGGTTACAAACTATCCGCGTGGGAACTGGATCTACACTGCGTTGTTAAAATGGCCGTAACATTCGCGTCTAGATAGTATATTCAGTGTTTATCGCCGAAGAGTCCATGGATTTGCCTCCGAGAGGTCCATCCGTTGTTCATGGGTTGAAGTCTTCGCGGGTAAGTTATTGAGAATATCTCAACGCAGCGAAAATGTTTTTAACGTCGAGTTCTGGGCATTTTAGATCTGCCTAAGCATGAAGCCACATTGTCAATTACATGTCTGTGTTTATTGCAGAATCCAAACCTCAAAATTGTTCGAATAATAGTCGTTGAAGGAGTTGATTTGGCTAAGAAGGACATTTTTGGTTTAAGGTAGAGTATAGCTGATCAATGTTTCATAGATGCAGCAATCTTGATGTGTAAAACGTTAGAAATCTGTCGTGGTGTAGTATTGAAGGTATTATCCCAAAGAATTTCCTTTAGTTTTAAGCTTTTTAAGCTTATCATTGAGCACGGTTTCAGGTTTTTGCGAGTTCTGCGATTGAACTTTGACAAGCTTTAATATCCTTATTACCCGTTTTTGTACTAAAATTTAATACGTATAGTCACAGGGTTTGTAGGTTATAGTCACTTTACTGCGAGTCAATTTTGAACTTGTAATTGGTTAAGGTATTTTCAGTTTTCTACGTAAGTGACGTTTACGTAGTTGCACAACTGCAAACCTAAAATTTGCCATCTGGACTTGTCAAAATGTTTTAGTTGGAACGTAATAAGTCTCAATGTTTACTTGCAATATTGATTGGAAAACATGGAACACGAAAGGCTTCCCAAAAATTATTTACTACATTGAATATTTATTGTCACACATATGATAGTCTCTACCCTAAAATTTACATAATTATGTCATATTGTGGTCCTCAGCAAAATCCAAAGGTTATCTCCTGTATGTTAAAATAAGCCATTTTAATAGTGTTGATTTAGAAGCAGAGCCTAGCAGCCATAATTCTGACAAGAAAACTTTATAATACCTCAGGCTGTTTTTTCAGGTTGACCATCATGGAAAAGTATGAAATCCTATCCTCTCTGACTTAAGTTCCTTGTAATAAAATCTTGAACTCTTCAATGTGAAGATCAATACACTTTTTAGAGACTCAAAAAGAACTGTAGTGGTTGGCTTTCTTTTTCTACAGCGTTTATGGCCACATTTTAATGGGTATATTTAAAATTTTTGTGCAAATTTTTACAATGTATGAAAATTTAATGTTTGCTTAATGATGGTAATTCATGACCATAACCCAAGAAAAAAGAAACAAAATTTTAAATTTTACACCACAAAGACTTTTAAACTAAAAAATATTATGTGGCTGCACACTTTACAGGTTCAGATTTCCTTTGTTTGTAGAATCATATTGTCTTTGTTTCATCCTCTTTAGTGATCCTTACTGTAAAGTAAAACTTTTCAGAGGAGATCGGGAGTTTGGAGAGATAGATAGTGTTGTTACTGAAACTATCAAAAAGGTAAGGGTAAAGTGTATTATTTTGATTTTGAATTGTGATGCTGAGCAAAGATACAGTACTGTTTTTAAATTGATAATATTGGACAAGTATTTGTGAGTTATCTCAGAGGTTATAACATTGTGGCTTAGAAAAGGTACAGAATAACCCATTATAGAGGAATGCGTAAACATTGTATGTAATAACTAAATTAAATGTAATTTACTCACCAGAAGTTCCAGGTCTTCTTTCGACTTCCTTCAATTGTCTTACCCTTCTCTTTTATCAACACCCTATTTTTCTAGTCTGACATCCTTGGGGTAGGTATCTTGGTACAGATCCATAGTATAGGGTTTGGACCATAGTTGAGGTTATTGGAAGGCATGATATAGAGTTTTTACTATCTAGGAATTGCCTTACTCTCTACTAAACAGTATAAGATCTCAAATCTATGATCTGAGCACTCTTTTGATCTTTTTGCTCAGTCTAGTTTTCAAATGAAGGCTAGAATACCTCTAGCATATACAGAGTGTGTATTACTACGTGGCTGCAGTCTAAAATGGCCTTGGGGCTACAGGCAACTACTGTATAACTGCAACTTTTGCTTTTATGCATTTTGTGTAAAGCTGCTTAAAAAACAAAGCTTTTAAGAGCTGGGTATTCCAGGTTTGTGCAGACAGATTACTCAGGATTTCAATGTCCCATTGAAATCTCTAAAAGCATAGCTTTGTACCATGCTGTTCATGCTCCTGTACATATTGTGCCCAGTTAACAGAGGATAATTCTAGGGGTCTAAAATTTTACCTGATAGTGAAAAACAAATTTTCTCACCAGCAGCTGTTTATGTAATTGAAACTACTTTCAGTATTAATGGGACATTATCCTTTTGGTTAAGGTAAACAGTTTATTTCTAAGTTGTTATTTCTAGTTTGTAGAATGAGCTATTTCAAATACACTGGACATGCAAATGTAGTAAAATTTGGACCTGAGTGTATGCACTATCAAGGTCTTCCTCTTCTTTCATTTTAGACCTTACACCCTGTCTGGAATGAGGGATTTTTCTTTAGGGTAAGAGTTCAGGATTCTTTTTTAACACTGATATGCATACTTAGATGCAATTGTGGCTTTTACAGGTACACCTTTCTAGGTGTTCATAGAGAAAAGCATGTACATGTAAACATAATTGTGATTTATATAAGAATAACAAATGATTTGCAAATAATTTAAGAAGGCACAATTGTGGTTACTTACATCTAGCCCCATCTAAGTTCAAACTTGAGAGAATTCTGAAGAGTCAAACCCTTGACTGTGTCTCAAGTCTGCAATAACAAATTTTGCAAATGACCCTGATATTTGAATGAGGTTTTTTAAAGATGATAAAATCCCTTTATTGTTTTAACATGATACACCAATTATTTAAACTCTTTTGCCAATAAGTAATCATTGATAACACTGGTTATCAAACTCACTTCTCTTTGTTTTTCAGGTTAACCCTTCAGATAACAAGCTTTTATTTGAAGTTTTTGATGAAAATAGAGTTGTAAGTAATTGTTGAAAACAATTATTCAGCACTTTAATGAACTTGTAAATTCTATTATTGATTTTAAATATGTAATTACCCGTAGCTAGCCCTAAGTGGATGATAAAGTTACAAGCTTTATCCTTAGGACTGAAAAAAAAAAACCACCAGTTTATGGAAAATGCATTCTTTATTGTTCCTATCTAACATCATTTCACCAAATGAACTCCAAGATTTTAAAGTGGTTTGGATGTGTAATTTTACATGAGCAAATACAGTGGGTAAGGATAGAAAACAGAGCAAATTTAAAGTGTGGTGTAATTGAATGAACAACATTTTCATTTTTTTGGATCCTTTGGACTTGAATTTTTAAGAAGAACTCTTGAAAGGTAGACATTATTAGAAAGCAGAGACAAACAGAGACTGTTTTGTTGTTAAGGTTATCCTCTTATGCCATGTTAACTACTAGAGAGTTAATACATTTAAACCCAAAATACTGTTCTGAAGG